GAGTGTGTTGTTTTTAGGAAACCACAAAAAAAGGAGGTTTCCTTTTGGTTGCCCTTTAAAGCCACTCCAAAAGAAGTATCCTTAAAACAGTCGACACCCCACTGAGGTACGACATCAGAGGTGAAAAGCACCTTGCCCCCCTGGGCGGTGATCGGCGCCTGTCTTTCCCAGGTCCCCTTGGCCCAAAAAGCAACATTTGTTTGGGTAAACGGGTCCCCACAAAGGGTGGGCGGATGATGGATTGTTTAGTTGTTTTCTCCTGGGGTCCGGTCATTTGCTTTTGGCCCTGGCTAATATTTAGATATTCCTTTGCTTTCCCCTTCAAACCAGCCAACATTGAATTAGTTGGGGATCTTTTTAATAGCGACTTTCCGAAAACTCCTGGCGACCACATTCCCTTCAAGCTGAAGGTACCAACCCATAGGGGTGTTAGTTTGGGGCACTGAACCGAGGACGAGCACGTAGCTTCTTTTCCGGATTGCAACGCCCCTGCCTTGTGGCCATTTGAGGCAGTTTCAGGCTGGACATTTGGAAGGCAGGGATGAGTTTCCTCGGTGCAAAGTTTTGAACTGGGCGGGCGCCTGCTCCCTGTGTTAGGCGCCCCGAATTTGTATTGTCTTGGTGAGCAAGTGGCCAGGCGTTCCGACCCAGACGCAGGACGGAAATGAAGGGGACAGAGGGAATGGAGGGGATGGAGGGGCTGGGAAAAAGCAGGGAAAGGCGAGTTTCATGGTGGGTGATTGACCGAACTTTGGGAAAACGGTTCGGATTCTGGCCACATCGTGACTTCACGGACAATAAGGAAGGTTTCTGTCAAGTGGATGCCCAGTGAAGAGGCCTTTGGGGGGGGGGATATTGACCCCCTGCCATTGAGGATCAATATCTTCTCTTTTGGTCAAACAATCGAGGGGTCACCCCCAAACGAAACCATTGGACCGACAATGCCAACAGTCTATGCTGTCCGAATTATACATTTCAGGCTGGTTCTGTTGACCCCTGTCAACATCAGGGGCACGCCCCAAATACCTGAATCTTCAGGTGTGCATTGTTCCGCCGTTTGCTGAACATGCACAAATTTCAGTGCTTTGGTCGAACATACGCTTTTTCACTGCAAACTTGTCGTGTCAAATTTGGCGGAAACATGGTCGGGGAAAGTCGCGGTTTGGTCGGGTATTGTCGCCGTTTGGTCGTGTGTTGTAGCCGTTTCGCCTTATGGATTTTTGACCCAGAGAGCGACAAAGTGAACAATGCCTGAGACACGAACAAGTGTTGTTTGTCTGAAAAAGCAGCTTTTCAAGAAAAGGCATGGAAACTACCACTTTGGAAGATCTAGGTATACAACAAGTAGTAAAGAAGTTGGGTGTCCCTTCAATTTCCCACAATCTCATCCGGGTTCGAACCCTCGACTTGCGGGTTTTGTGATTAGATGCGGTTGGATGCGGACTCCGCCCTGTCCGGCCTTTTCGCTGTGTGCAGGAGATGCCTCCGTTGCGGTCAGGCGTGATCCAGCAATCGGTGTGTCTTGTTTGGGGGGAAGCCCTTTTTGGTTGGTTTGAAAGGAAAGCCAATAAGGAAGCCATCCATGTCGTAGGTCCCCCGAAATTGAAAAGAACCGCACTGTCCAACCCCTTCGTTCATTGGGGGCCCTTGCCGGCGTCAAAGAAACACGTTCCGACTGCTTGCACCAAAGGACTGCATGCCACCCAAACTGTCAATGTGCTGGGGTAGATTTGCTGGTCATACTATGAATGTGCCACCCAACTGTTGGGCTTTTCCCAAGATGTGCTGGGGTAGATGGCATCTGGCGTTACTGGCTGTTGTCCCCGGTTGACCTCACCCGGAACAATGCCGCCTTTTTGCTGCTCGGGGTGGGGGCCCTGAGTTTTCTGCACGAAGGAAAAGGGCCCCTTCTAACGTGATGTCGTGGGATGGCCCACTTTTGTGTCACAGAAACCCTGATTTCCCACAACCCCCCAGGACACGCCCCGAATTTATGCTGGTCAACCGCAAGGTCGAGGGGGGTGGTGTTCCTGATTCTCCCTTGCCAGGTGCAATGTCCTCAGCCTTAGGATCTTCGGCCGCGGGGCTGTCCCCCTCGGAGATGCCGGTGCTTAGCCCCAGGATGTGGGTATGGGTCAAAATAAGCCTACAAAAAAACAGCAGATTTTTAGTCTTTGGTTCCATTTATCAGGGTTCCATTGCTCAGTGTCGCGCGCACAGTTTTGCATCTTTTAACCGCAGGGTGGTGGTGCCGTGGGACACAGTTTGCGGGGAGCTGTTTGAGGTGCTGGTGACGGTGCGCGCGCGGGCGCATTTCTGCGATATTGACGCTCGGGTGCTATAGGGCATGCAGGTGACGGTGCAGGCGCATGTTTGCATCTTGACGGTAGGGTGCAAGAGGGCATGCAGCAGCTTTGGTGGTTTGGGATTCTGTTTGGGGTGCTGGTTGATTTTCGCAAGATTGACGGCTTTGTGTCTTGGGGGGTGCTGTTTGGGGTGCTCTTCAGGGTGATGGTGCGGGCACATTTTTGCTCGATTGACGGCCGGGTTTTGCTTGGGGCGTTCTTCGGGGTGCTTTTGGAGGTGCTGGTGTGCAAGAACTTCTATCTGGGGTCTATGCTGGTGTAATCTTTTGTTTTGCAAGTGGAGCAGTATCTAAATCAAAAACCACTTGCTTAGAACGGTGGAGGCCCACTCTTCCCGATTTTCTTCTTCTTCCCAAACCAACCAAACCCCCCCCCCTCCCCCAACCCCAAACCAACCAACCCCCCCCCAACCCCAAAACAGGCGGCCAAAACGCAAAGCGCAACACCGGGCTGGGGCTCCGATCGATTTCGAGGTGCCCACGGAGTTGCCCACCTCACCGCAGGCGCCCCATTTGGAGGCGCCCTCAGTGGAGGCCCGGCGGCCCAGATCTGACCCCACGCGCCGAGTCTGCGAGTCTGAGGTCGCAACTTTGTGGGGGAGGGTTCATTAACCTACTAAAATAGACTGCAGAGAAAAAAATGAGAGTTGGTATGCCCTTATTCTAATTTTTACCGGAGGACCTAGGCATGATTTGGCCATGGAACATCTTCTTTGTCCCCTCAACTTAGTTCCGTTTCGGACTTTCGTGACTTTTTGGGAAGGCCAGTTCAGTGCTGAACCGAAAGCTTGAGCCATCGACTCGCAGGTAGGATCCAAACCCAAGCCCCTCTTGGCGTCCGAGCGACGGAGCGGTCGAGCAATCCCCGAGGTGCCCCGGGACGTTGCCAGCGCTGTGTCAGGCGAGTCTCGAATGAGCGTCTCACTTCCGGTCTGGGATGATCATTCCAGTGGCTTCTGGGAAGTGGTTGCCCTGTAAAACAGGCCCTAAAATTGGTACCAGCGACAAGACGCGGACACCAGTCTGTACAAGGGCGTTTTTGGGCATTTTCCAACCCAGCCAAAAGCCAACACTGGTGAAACGATCTTACCACCATTGGTTGAACAAGCTCTTGGTTTCTTTCTCGGGTGCGACCCATGGTCACCAGTCCCCGGTCAACGACCGCAGTTGAATCTTGGCCAGGTGAGTTTGACCTCGATGCGCGGGAGCCCGGAGGTTTTTGAGATCCAAACTTCAAGGCCACGAGATAAACCCACCAAGTGGTCAAGTTCTGGGTGTTTTTTTCAGTCGTGCCCTTCTCTCCCCCTTTCTTGGTTGGGAGGGTTGCCCTAAAATTGACAGCAAGAAAGTTGGCGCCCTTCTTCTAACCTCTCAAAATCTGGAGGACCTAGTATCCCAAGCCGCCTCAAGGCGGTTTTCTGCGCGACCGGTTCGCAGGGATCCGCGCCAAGGCGGGACCTCAAGAAGGTTTCAGTCGTGGATCATTACAGCTCCCTCTTGGAACCAACATGTCAGGCGCACAGGGCTTTGTCACTTTTGGAAAAAAAAGCCCACACACACATCAGGCAGCCCTAAAAATGGCGGTTTGTATTGATTTGAACCTCTGAGAGACTCTGGTTTTTGTTGGGTACGTAGATGGGAAGCCACTCCAAGCTCCAACCCACCACTCCAAACCGCCAGGGGGAGGCGAACTCGGATGGCAACCAAGGTGGAACTGCCGGTTCCGGGACACTCAGGCGGGGCCACAAGCATCGCTTGGTCAGTGCGTTCCAAGGAACGAACATGTGGGAGTTGATCAACAAGTCCTTTACATGGGATGACCAGGAAAGCCGCCTAAACAAATTATGGTATTTCTCACCAAATGGGAAAAGTTCCCCGCGGTCATTTTGGGGCTTGGAATATTGATCAACCCCCATGTCTGATCCAAAACCAACTGTTCAACGTTGAGGATAACTCAACTGCATGTGTGGTGAACGTGGGATCCCCCTAGTCCCGACATCTGGGTGGAGGAAGGTTGTGGGAACAGTTCCCACGTTCCCAGAAATTCGATAGAAAAAGCACAGCTCTTGTTGTTTGTGTTTGCCACGGAGTTTGGGTGGATTCTGGATGACCCAGGTTGTGATTATGACTCACAGCAGAAGAGACAGAGAAAGAGAGAGAGAGAGAGAGAGAGAAAACAAAGGAAAACAAAACCAGATAAACAGAGAATGCAAGAAAGAGAGAAAGAGAGAGAGAGGGAGATAGCGCGGTGGTGGCAAAGGGTCATGGAATCCTGGTATGAAACCCTCGTGTACTTGTTCAAGGTTAGTCAGTTGCTTCTTACTTCTTATGGGGAGCCAGCCTCTTGGATTTGTATTCGGAACATTTTTCAGCCTGTTTCTGGATTCCCGCCTTGAGGCATCTGGTGCCAAAACTGCCTTGGCCACGCCCTACAGTCCTGGCCCCCAAACGCAGGTTCCCCAAAAGGGGCCCGTCTTCTTTGAAGGTATAGTTTTTCTTTTTTGGGCTTGGTTTGGGTGGTTGGGGTTTAGGAACCGTTTTTTGTTGGGTTTAAAGGGACACCAACAGGCGCCACTCGTGGGGATAGGCCCGTTTGAGACAGCCACAGTCCCGGGATCGGGGCCCCCGAAGTCGCCAGCCCTCATGTCCTCCGCACCCTCGCCGGCGTCGCCGCCGGAGCTGGCGGCGTGGGTCTTGGTAGCGGTGGGGGGCGTGCGGTTGACCGCCTCCGTTTGGTGCCCTACGCGCATTTTTTTTTTGAGGGGGCTCCCCTTTACCCGCGAAGAAAAAACAAAAACAAGTCATGCGGAAGTAGGTGCTGTTGAGCCAAGCCTTCAAGCGCATCCCTTTTAAGGCTTTGGAGCGAACATCACAGGGAAACGCCGCCATTTGTTGCTGCGTCACATCATTTTGACCCGGATCCCAGATAAGCTGCCATTTTGCTTTCAGTTTTGCATGGTCGCCCGGAGGCCTCTGGGAGTCAATGCATTCCGAAGGATGGCTGACCTTGGTGGTGCTTCTAGGCAAGCCACTTGGCGATCTGCCGCCCGATCTCGCAGGGCAGGCTGGAGCTGTTTGCCGCTGCAGATCCCGAGCCCGAGGTGGCGATCCCGAGCCCGAGGTGGCACATCTGGCGGCGTCGGCGCTTAAGGCATTGCTCACCGACACAACTGGCCATGAATTTTAATAGGGAACCCTCTCCAAAACTGGCTGGTGGACATGGGTCCCCACCTAAAGTGTGTCCACCAAAGGGCTCCTTATTAAAATTCAGACCAAGCTGATTGTACAGTTGTTGCGGTCGCCGCGGCGGCCAAGCGAGCCGTGCAACAAGCCACGCCGGAGCTGGACGAGCTGCCATGTACGACGGGTGTGCCTTTTTTAGGAATCGGACCCCCCCCCGCCTCCCCAAATGGCTTCCGTTTTCCTTTTGGTTTCTCTTCAACACAGCAAAAAAGGGAGTGCAGCACCTTCAGGAAAGACACACCTATGGTTAGCTGCCATGGTGGTAGCTGGAAAGTGTTTTGTTGCCGTGCTATAGTGGCAAATGCAAGCACCAGGACCAGGCTTTGCCACATGGATTCATATTATGGTCGTGGGTCAACACCAATGGTACCATTTTGGCGTATGTGCACCACCCATTTTAATCTATTTTAGTGGGGATTGGGATGTTCATTGGGGGTATGGGGGTTTTGACCCATAGCCATATCACACATGCTTATTCCTCTAATGTATTGACAGTACAGTTTCTACTGCGTGCGATTTCAACTTGGTACTCCTGCATGTTTTTGTTTTTTTTGGTAACCGGAGCTTATCAGGTTACAACCGTGGTTACAACAGGGGCAGGGGTTCGTCCCCTCGTAACCAGGGTCATAAACTACTTTCTACGTAGCTGGTTTACCCAAGTAGGTGAGCGCTCAAAGAATGGGACCAAAAGGACAATTCATTGGTTGACCTCCCCCCAAAAGTGAATGTGACCTTGATTTCGGAGGCATACAACTCCTTTTCTCTCAATGTAAAGGACCTTGCGCATGGGCAACATGATATTAACTTTGATTGCTGAACCCCAGGTTGATTTTGACTTCTGGTGACACCCGATAGAGGGGTGTACACCCTTGGCAAGCCTCCTTGAGTTTGTCACGTCTTGGTTTCGGTCTCTAGCAATCTGTAATGAACACATTGAGTGGAATATGTGTGTAGCTGTTTCATTAGGTTTTGAAGCTTTTCTTGGACATCATCTAGTCAGGGCCAAAGCTTTTGTCCGCTTTAATCTGATTGTGTCAGTCTTATTGGCCAGTGAAGATCCATTCTGTAAGCGGGGAGGAGACCAAGCATTCAGCATTTGAGCATGTCTTGAAGGGTTTTCCCCCAGCTGAGTACGTGAAGGCTAGTAGGGACCAGGCAGAAGCGGCTATCTACTCAAACCCGGGCAGCCATTGTTTGGAGAATGTTTTCCACACCCCCGCGTTTGTTTTGTTTTGTGTTCCGGATTTGGTGGTTGGCACCGGCTGAAAGTTTTTTTGGTTTTGAATCGGATTTTGGAAGCTGGCGGCCAGACGCTGTTTTCTGGGTCGCCGATATCTTATTAAGACCAAATCAGGACATTCCGCACTTCTTTTGTTCAGGTTAGCCATAGGTCAACTGTCGCCTGCGTGTTTTTCTTCACCGGTATTTCCTGGGCCAACAAATGCAACTCGGTTTTCGCCTCTACTACTTACTAAGCTTCTGGTTTTGACGTATAGAACACGATCCCATTCTAAACATCGATCCTTGGTCCAGATGGAGCAACTGGAAGGTCAGCCGGATCCGAGGTGCCCACGGAGATGCCCACCTCTCCAGTGGACACGGTCACAGTGGAGGCTCCTACACAAACGGTGGAGGCGTGGACCCCCAGACGGGACGGCTGTCCTTTCCGGGTTTCCTGTAAGCCGACCTCAGAAAGGTCCCTGAATTAAAACAAACAAATCCTTGTGCAGGGTGTTGTTCACTCCTTGAGGGCAGCTGAGCCTCTGTTTTTTGCTTTTTTAAAGACCCTGCAAGTCACAAGACAGGACGTTCAGAGGTTTTCGGGATGGTCCGTTCGCCCTATTTCCTAGGTCTTTGAGCCTCAATCGACTTACCAGTTCAGTTTACATGTTCTGTATGTTCTTTTGTTGACTGCTCCATGAATTTTGTAGCCAAGGCTTCAAGGGCCCGAACAGTAAAAGCTTGCTTCTGGCCAGTGGGACCAAGGCAGATGGTTGTCACAACTTTCAGCCACTTGACTATAGATTGAATGTGTGACTCCCAATCAGCCTTCAATTATGAGCTTTTGGGCTCTGAGTTGTTCAGGCAAAACATTTGAGTGGTAAGCAACGTGATTTCAGGCTGGTGAACGATTATGTTCAGGTGTTATGCTTTCACAGCCTGTGTTAGGACGCAGACGATATGGCCGTTGCGGAATAGACATCGAATCAAATTCGCACCTGTAGGGGATTTTGCCTGTAGATTCCCGGGAGCTTCGAACGGGGTACAGAATCGATCAACGGTTCCCTTTGGTTTTCTTTCATCGACTTCCAGTTTTGTTTAAGTCTTGTTTCATGGTTGTTGTTGGGAAACATTCTACATGTTTGCTTATTGTGGTTTAGTGGTTTAAAATCCAACCACTTAACTGCTAAAATTTTCGAATGTTTGCTCCCCAAACCCAACGTCAACCAAGTTTGGATTACTTTTTGTTGCCGGATTTTCAAGGGAATCCATCCATCATTGGCCATATTTCCCAACCCGATAGGTTTAAAGTTGGCATTCGACTCGTCCCGCCCGGCGCACTCCCACCCGCATGACGCGACTTCACAGAGCGTATTGCGACAGGCGCTTAGTCAAGCGCCGGAGTGCTAAGATGGAAAGTGACACGATTTTCTAGGGCCAGGGATCAACTTTGTACCATGAGGCAGCAGCCCTGTTAGATGTTGAGGCCATGTCCTTTCGGGGCCTTCGGACAGTGTCCACGGATCAACGCCTGAACCGCGCATGTATACATATATATATATATATGTATACATTATAGCATACTATTTTATACGCATGTAAATACCACAAATCATAATCAGTCGAAACAATAAATACATAAGTAAATGCTTTCATAGCTAAATGAGTAAAGGGAGAGACGAATACATAGTAAAAAAAGAGGGACACATGACTGCATAGATAAATCAATGCATAGACAACATATAGGTATATAGATACACATGGACCCCTGGCTCAAACCCCTCATTCCTTGGTTCACTCACCGCCTTGTCGCGGATTAGTTCGCAAGTGGCTAGGTCCCGACGGCGGACATGGAAGCAGGCACAGCCTTGTCAGGCGCTACCGGTGGGCGGTGCCCGCCCTGCCTTGTGAAGAGGAAAATTACTGTAGGGGATTTAGTGTCTTGTCTTTGCGACTCACTCGCTCAGTGCAACTAAGTGCGCGATCAGTGAGTCAGGCACCAAAAGCAGCAGCTGTAATTAGTGTCGCTGGAATTAGTGTCGCGGTGTGTCTGGGATTTCGTGTCGCTGGAAAGGGAAACCAACAGGACCCCCCCCCTTCCCCAACCTGGGGAGGTCCTCGTTTACAAACAAGCCCATGCAGCTGAGCTGCCCCCCCCCCAAAAGGAGAGCCAGAAGCAACAGATCGCTGAGTGAGTATCACACATCTTGGGATTAGCACGTGCACATGCTGTCAAAAAGGCATAAGGCGCAAGCCTCTTTGGCAAATAATTTGTTTTTTGTTTGTCAACCTGCCAGTGATTTCACACATTGCATGTGTCACAATTATACCATTCAAATCTGAAAGCTGATCCCCGGGTGGAGGACCTGTTCATCCAATGCTCTTTGGTGTGACCTTCACTTGCAGGGCAAACATCCCCCTGTCAATCTGCCAAACCAAGTTATCGTTCCGGGGGTCAACAACAACTGAATGTTTAATGTGTAACTTCCGAAAGGTCACAGGTTGTTTCCAGATCCTTTAGCCACATGTTTTGGCTTATGTCATAAGTGTCTCTAAGCAAGGAGCAAGGCTGGAGCCGTGACCGTCGGGGTCCCGCTGTGTTCTGCCACTGCCGACAGGTTCAGGTGCTCCAACACAGGACCGGGCTCCCACCACCAGCATGGAACGGGGCGGGAACGGGGAGGGGTGAGGGAGGGTCAAAAAAATTGTTCAGCCCGGAAGATCCTTGAATTTTCCTGGGCGGTCCATGAAACCTCTGAGCAGTTCATAAACCATGCGACTTAAGGGTTTCCAGGGTTGATTCCCCCATCTTTTTTCGACCATGGTAATGTTCAATATCCTGCCCTGCCTTTTGTTTTGTGGAACGCTTCGGATCCCTGGAAAGAGTGGAGAAGTCACCACACACCTTGAACACTTGGTAACATCTTACATCCTAGTCCTTTGCTCAAATTAGGATTGAACATTTGTTAACTCCCGGGTTTGAGCTCTTGATCAAGATAGACTTCCGGTAAATCGCGGGGAGTCACAGGATGTTCTTGCTCCATCTTTGCAATATTTCGAAGTACTCACTTGTCCAAAGCTTTGGACCTTGTCTGATGCTGGTCTATTTCGAGTCATGGTTCCAAATGCAAACCGACGTTATTTTCAGCTCACTCCCTCAGTTTTGTTTGGAAAGAGTATGGCGGTGGCAAAAAACAATTGGGTGTGGCTCAAAATTAAACGATCGGAGAGGCAAACCGCAGGTTTTGGTCCATGTTTCCACTCACCGATCGGGCAACCCATTTTGGAATTCCGGTTTTTTGAGCCACAGCCAGTTCGGACTGTTTGCCCCATGCAACTGAGTCAGGTCCTGTGCGCGATGGAACTTTGTGCTCGGCTGAAAGCTTTTTCAAGCGGCATGGAGGGAGTTCTGGGTTTCCACCCCTAGCAATCATGTCTTCCATGTACTGAAATGAATGATTATGTTACTGGCTATTCGGATATGAGACTTGTTCATGGATACTTCATGGGTACTTCATGGTATACATGAGAGTGGTTATTTGCTTCATGGGTACTTCCATTTGTTCTTTTCCCCCGTTGGTTTTAAAGGGAATCTATCACTACTGGAAGTAAACTTATGTTTTCCTGGGGGCTTAAGCAAATGGAGGGGTATGGTCAGACTCTTGAAAAGCAAGTCTCAAAAAAGAGTACCCTTTTCCCTGTGGCCACTGTCCGGTCACAATATCATTCAGCAGTCCATGGTCTGCTTGCGAGGGACATTAGGGACTGGCCACAACAAACAGGGAAACACTATTGTACAGTGACTTTTACGGTGACCTTGGCTTATATACCCATCATCACAAGACATTCCTTGAGGATGTGCTCCCGCATGTCTCCCCATCCGTTTCTTCCTCCAGGAGGCGCCGCCTTTTAGATCAGGCCAGCCTGGCTGGCCGGTCAGGAGCAGGTCAAGCTTTACCGTCCATGTTCATTGCTTGTTTGGAGGTGTGGAAGTCAGGACTTGTTGATTATTATTACTATTATTAATATTATTTGTTATTATTATTATTATTACTATTAATTATTATTACTACTAGTATTTATTATTATTATTATTATTACTATTATTATTATTATTATTATTATTATTATTATTTATTATTATTATTATTATTATTATTATTATTATTATTGTTATTATTATTATTATTATTATTATTTATTTTTATTTTTATTATTACTATTATTATTATTACTATTATTATTATCATTATTATTAATTATTTATTTATTTATTGATTCATTGATTTTCCGATATGCGTTTAATTGGTCTTCGTTGCTTACTGGTATGAATTTGTCTCGCGTGTTCAATCTGAGAGCTTCCGAAGGGCTTTCAAAGCGTGGGCCTTCGATTCGAGAAAAGGTGACATGGGTCTGACCAGGGTTCGGTCCCTTTTGACCCCCAAAAAGAGTTAAACCCAGGGGTGGTTGATTTCCCTAAAAGCAAAACCCCTCGGTTTAAGTCTACCTTGGGGTGGTCAAAAAGTAGAACCCTGGGTCTGGCTTGTTTGGAGGGAACCCTTTTGGGTGTCTAAAAGGAAAGCCAAACCAAGCATTTTGGGGGCTCCCCTAAACAAAGACACGCCCAAAGTTGTTGCCTTAGCACAACACGGGCTCCAGGTGGCTATCGAGCCCACATCCCACATGCCCCCATGCTGTCTTCGGGTTGAACCAGAAAACAAGCAAGCGAGCAAAGAAACAAGCAAACCAACAGACAGACAGACAGACAGACAAACAAAAGCAGAGAAGCAACCAAACTTACACACACCCACACCCACACATTACTGCGAAAACATTCCTCCTGCAAAGCGTTGAATAGCCAAGCTTGTGCTTGTTGATGTAATGGGAACTGCAGTTGTTTTGCCAAAACTAAGTCAGTGTGGGGTTTGTCGATCCGACAGTCAATGCATGCATCTTCTAACGGTAGGCTGGCGTTTGTCGATCTGATAGGGGATGGGGAACGCATTAATGCTTCCTCAAAGTCTAAGTGGGTCTGTGCTGATCTAGCAGGGAATGCAATGGTTCTTCGATGCTGGACGTGAAGCCACATAGTTTTCTGGGTCGAACACGCAACTGCGTTTGTCCCCCCAACAATGACGACACCGGCGACGACGGCGACGACAGCAACAACGGCAAGCGCAAGCGCAAGCGCAAGCGCAAGCGTAAGCGCATGTTTTTGGCAATATGGCTGTGGCTCAAAAAACCGGTACCAAAATGGAACCCTGGTAAGTGGACACATCGACCAAAACCTGCGGTTTGCCCCTCCTGTTTAATTCTGAGCCACACCCATCTGGCCGGGGATGTCCTGCCAGGCGTGATGTCCTCGGCTCTTGGATCCTCGGCCGTGGGGGTGTCTCCCTCTGAGATGCCGGCGCCGACCCCCAGTTGGGATCCGGACCAGCGGCCCGCTTTTGGGGCACTTTCGAACAGGGTCTCGCCGGAAGGGTCAGGATGGCAAGTAGACCAGCCACATCCAGCAACATGTGTTTGGGGACATTCATCTCTTTTGATGTTCTTTTGACTTGGTATGCCCGACCATGCAGCACGTGATTTTTGTTTTGTCGGCAAAGACGGAGGTAGATGTCCATGGCAAGTTGCGGTGAGCTTCCGGGTGGTCCCATGCAACATGCGAACCCGGTTGCTGCGAGCCTTGCTTAAATGGCGAAACCGTCTGCGCCGCAAGTTGGCTTCGGGTCTTCCAGGGGGTCCAAGTCCAGGTCCATCCGGACATTTCCGGAAGGGTCCAGTTTACCCATGCTTACCTCTTAAAAGCACAACTTTTCAACTTTTTGGGTAGCATGGGCTATATGTCTGTAAAAGGTTAACTTCCCCAATCCTTGGAGTTTTAGGGGGTAAGCATGCGACGGCGTTGGGACTGAAGCCATCGAGGTGCCCACGGAGATGCCTACCTCCCCCGTGCTGACCACTTCACGCCCAGACGCCCCAACCTTGGAGGCGAGAGGGACAGCACAGAGGGCACAGAGGGCAATCCCAGGGAGAAGGTTCCTTAGACTTTTGTGTTTCTTCAGGTTTAGAGGCTGAGGGATGGCCAGAATTATCCGAGAGCGGATTTGAGCAGAGCAAGGAGTTTGACAAAGACTTGCTCCCCGAGAACCCAAAGTCTGGGAGCTTTTTGGGCCAGTCTCGAAGGCCCCTGGCCCGGAAAAGCGAGAGAGGGACAGTCCCATAAAGGTCCCGCAGCCGTCATGGGTGGTTTGGCTGCGAGGGCGGGGTGTCCTTTCTTTTGGCCGTGCCTCTTTTTCGAGGCTGGGAAAAAAGCACAAGGATAATTTCTACCTTTGGCCCCCTAAGAAAAAGTCGCTGAACGAAGTTCCAGTCGTTTCCCAGTGCTTTGGGGTCCCGGGACCTGCAAAGAAGATTCAACTAATAACAAGATCTCAAAGATTTGAGCAAGAAGGACTCGTCAGGATGATTAAAACAAATGGTGAAGCCTGTCCAAAAAACCGAGGTCCATCTGTCCAGCCCCACTACAGCCCCCAAAGATACCTTCCCAAATCTTGTTCGGCCTTTGGAGGGCGTCTTTTTTGATGGTAGCCTTTTCGGCTGGCTTAAAGCCAAAGGGCAAGCACCCACTTTGCGGTTCCCTCAAAACAGGAAAAAACAAAACTGCCTTCGTAAGCCTTTTTAGTACCCCCACCAACCTGGAACCTGACAAAGGAAGGCTGGCTCCCTCCAACAATCCATGAAGCTGACAGGCGGGTTTGTGAAGAACACTTGCCTTTTGGGAAAGCCCCATGTCCACTTCCATGTTTGTTGGAAGGGTATGTCTTGCTCAATCTGACATCTGGCGCAAAGCGTGACCGATTTGATGACAGCGTATGTTTGATTCACTCGACCAGATAGGCGACCATTTCAACCCAATTGGGTTGGTTTGGATTAGTTTAGCCGAGAGACTGGCCACAGTCTAGCCGTTCTCTGACTTGAGCCATCCAACTGGTGGTTTTCTTGAAGAAAAATCCCCCAAGGTTCCTTCCCTCATTCCCTCACTCTTCGACACTGGCAGGGGTTTGTCATCCGCCCTTTGTTGACTATAACAAATTCTGGCAAACAGTGTTCCACACAACTTGAAACCCCTTGTTTTGCTCAGACGTTCGGAATCTTTCTCTAGGGATTATCAAGCTCGCAAACTGGGACTAGGTCGGCCAGTAGTGCCCTTTTTCCCCTTTTTGGGGAGGGTTGGTTCCCCTACTAAAGTAGACTACAGAAAAAGGGTTCCCTTATTTTAATCTCTCTACTGGAGAACCTAGGGGATTGTTTGCCTAGAATCTTGCAGGGGGTGAGTTTGACCATGGCAAACATGCAGGCCACTTGGATTTTCCAACTGGACGAGAATGACAGACAAGTTTCGGCCTGCAGTTTCACTTCGATTCTCCGTGCTTAGCCTGCTGATTCTTGCTTGCTGTTTTAACCACCACGAGGTTTAGCCTTTGATCTTTTCGAGGATTGGTACTTGACTCTCGGCTCACTTCCCGAGTTGAACTTGCTCAACTTTTTGACACTACCAATTCAGTGATACGCAACACGCCTCCACGTGTTTGGCCTATCACGCAGGCAGAGGCACACCGCACCCGTTTTTTGGCTTTCCGGTTGTCGCAGGCGCCCACCGGCCTGGAGATGCCGGCGGAGCGGAGCGTGCCCTCAGGCGCAAAGACAGGGCCCACCAAGAGTGGACCTCAGACTTGTGGGGCGCTTCCGCGTTTTTTTTCCCCCCCCCCATTTTTTGGTGGGCGTTTTCCCTGTAGAATCGCATACCTACCAAAAAGCGTGGACCTCCAGGTTGCTTCCCTTTTTGCCCATTTGTTGCGGGCGTTTCCCTGCAAAATCCACTAATTTCCAGCAAAAAGGGTGGACCTCCAGCGGGTTGCTGCCCTTTTTCTCAGTTCCTGAGTTCATGGACTTGAGTCACGGTTTGGGCTTGGACCATGTGAGTGGCAAACCCAAAAACGGTTGGGTGCTTTCTTTCTTTTGGCCAGTCCACTCGCTCGGAAGTGAGTTTTTCATGTTTGGTGGGCGCCCTGGCTGTCTCATAGGACAGTCTTTCCCCCGGCTCCCGATGAAGCGATTTTCTGGGGCTCCCTAGGCCCCTAGGACCCACCCGGGTGAAAGTTTCCAAGAATGATTCGGATAGATATGGGGGACATCCAACCACAAAAGCCAGGTAAGTTGTAGAGTTGAAAAGGTTTACAACTTAGGCCCTACGTGTTTCATGGGTTCGGCATCCACGACAGAAGGTTGAGCCCCTTTGCCATTCATGGGTTCAGCAAACTTTGCGCTTGAATTTGCCCCCCCCCCCCAAGAGAAAAATCCTCAGCCGGATGTTTTGTTTGGCTCCATGTTAAACATTTCCCAGTGGTTTTTAATCACAACACCCAGGGAAAGAATGGAGAAGTTACCTTGCTGGTGCTCTCTATTCAATGACCTCCCGCGCGGTGGGAAATCAACCGTTTGGGGATTCCCATAAAGGAAACTCCATAGCGGGGATGGTTCTTCTCGGGGTCATTCCCTGCTGAGAACCGTCAAGTTCCCAGAGCTCGGACGTCAGGCGGTTTGGATTTGGACGCCGGGGAGCTGAGATCTGGAGGTATTGGGAAGCCCCGGCCGGCGAACGGGGATGAGAGGGCAGGGGAAAGCCTGAGCGCCCTGCGAACGTGGAAACATATACCCTGTCAAGCGGCTGAAGAGCACATACAAACGGTATAGAACAAGCATGTATATATATATATATATTATACATGAGCCCCGGACAACATTTACTTGTTTCCACAAGGAACATGGGAAGATCGATTCTCTCCGGTGTATTCATCCACGGGCGGTGGCGATTGATGGCTCCAGAGGCCGACGCACCACATCCACAGACAGCCTCTCGACCGGTAAGGCCATATTTGGCCTGGGGGTGGGTTGTAGGGCTCTGAAGGTTGGCAAACAAGAGCGCTGAGGCGGAGTTGCCAGTGCCCGACCAATCAGGCGCTCGGCGTGTCGGGGAGCGGGCAGGGGGCACACCGAGATGTTGCTAGTAAACGTGCTGCTGGGAAGCCAAGGGCGCCCCAAGAGCCCCATTGCAAGCCCCTTTCAGCCTCACCTGTCACGTCGGACTGCGTGATCGGTCGCCAGCTCTGATGTCATCCGGCATGGCGTCCTCCATGACTTCTCCCTCGGAGATGCCGGCGCCGGGCTCAGGGCAAACGACTTTGACAGCTTGACCCCCTAACCCACAAAAGTTTGCCAAAGCCATTTTGTAGCAGGGCTCCGAAAAAGACGCAGTTCAAACTAAGACTTCACACAGGCAGGATCCAAGACCCCTCCAAAGCTGGAACTTATGGCAGCGAGTGATCGGATTTTGGCAGACGGCTGTGACAGGGCCTCTACACAAATCAGAATGTGCAAAGAGGAGGACTTCTGTGCGAAACTCTTCTTGGTACGGATGCCCGAAATATATTCTTGGTGATCCAACCCCACACAGCCCCCAACACTGTGGTGCAAAGTAGGGGTTCCATTGTTCCCCTTGCGGTATTTAGGACATCCGTACCTCAGAAATTGTGCCGTTCGGATGCAACGTTGTAACACCAGGCAGGATGCCTCAATCCGTTGATTACATTTCGGGATTTGATCTACTCTTTTGTTTACTCAATGCTAGGCCAGGGTTCCAAACAGGCTTATGCTTTTCAGGTCAAGATGTATCTTTCGTTGGTCAAGGTTACCTTTAACGTACTCAAGGTCCACGTTAAGTCAAGCTTTACCTTTGGTTGCACAGCATGCAGGCCCGAAAAGCCTCCAGCGTTGAGGGGGGTTAAGATGAATCAGCCTCATGCAGGCCATCAAGGGCAACGGTGGGTAGCTTGGGGTGTCGCGCGCGCTTGGCGCAAAGATGGCGACTCAGGTGCCCACGGAGATGCCCACCTCCCCCATGTCCGAGCCCGGCGATGAACCGCAGACTCTTGAGGCACGCTTTTGCTTACCCGGAAAAGCGCTGGGCCAGCCGCAGCCGGCTGCAAAATGTCCAAAACACTCAAGTCCAATTATCGGTTGAAGGCTTGGTAAGGGAACCGACCTCCTTTTCGGATGTTGTTTGAAGGAAAGCCAACATGAGGCCGTTCAAAGTTTGGGAAACACTGAAATGAGCATGGGTATGGGCAATGTAGTTTGTTTTTGTTTGTGTTTTTTTTCTTCTGGGCCTTCAACGGAGACTTCCAGCTTTTGGTTGATCACAGCTGTTGCTGATACCATTTGAGCAACCCTAGGTTGTTCTTTTCAGACCTTGCGATCTCGACGCATAACATGGCCACCATGCTCCCCTCCCAAGCGGCCCGGACAGCCCGTCCGAGGAAAATGTCTTCCATGCTCCCTGAGCGA